TATCTCTGAGTTTTGAGTGGGCGCATGTCGCCAGTATGCTGCGTTGCTGTTTACATGCATGAAAAGTGTGTTTGAGAACGAGTCTGATTGCACAATCCAAAGGCTCCGCACAATTTCTAAAAGCTTCTAGACTTGCACGGAGCAGGCACAGAGGCCGCGACCAAATCTCAGCCGTACAGATCAAGAAAATCGCAGCTGTTCGAGGGGGCAACCTGAGGCAAGCCAAGTCATTGAGGCCCTGCCTGAGTTAAGGCATTCATTTTCTGCCTGGGCGAGTTGATGTTGGAACTCATACTGGAGGAGACCACCTTGAGCCGGGCAGAAGTAGAGAGAGATAGGCGAGGCAGCCACACCGTAGAGGAGGCTGTGTGTATAGGAGCGGAGGCTGCTGCCCGTGGATTAGGGTAGGCCGCTGCCTCCATAGCTGTAGGGAGAGAGAGAGAGAGAGAGAGAGAGAGAGAGAGAGAGAGAGAGAGAGAGAGAGAGAGAGAGAGAGAGAGAGAGGATGGAAGGCCGGAGATGAGATCTGGCATGCGGGGCGCGATGTTTGCTTACCCAGTGTCTTCTGGTTGACGCTCTTTATGGCGGATGACTGCTCTGCTGCTCGAGGTATTCTGCATTGGCGTTGTTTCCAAGACTCGGGTTCGACTCCAGCTGCAATCAGATGAACTTACCTGGGGTTGTCCAGCAGCTCGAGATGTGCTAGCCATCTCGAGCCACTGGACAGCCCTACATAAGTTTATGGGCCTCGCTCCACTACTCTCGACATGCACAAAGACAAAAATCATGGCAGTGTATCTTTCCATCTTCTAGGGAAAGATTCACTCTCGTTCACCTGTTCGCAGTAGCCGATGCAGATCCCAGGGCTCGATCCCTAGTCCTTCACCTTACCTGTGTACAGTATCTGTGTCGACCCCAAGAGTTGAACCCCTGACCTGTGTATTTGCAACAGTTGGTAGACTGTCATAGGGTCCGTAGGTAGTAGGGGTTCGATCTGTAGACCTGTCGGGTAGGAGTCTTAGCAAGGTCGAGAAGTCGTAGCTGTAGCTCCTCCGAAAGGTCAAGGTCGTAGCTGCTACAGTCCTGAAGGGTCAAGGTCGTAGCTGCTACAGTCCTGAAGGGTCAAGGCCGTAGCTGCTACAGTATCGAAAGGCCAAGTCCACGGCCTTCCGGAAGGTCCTGGTAGTGCTTCTCGAAGCTGCTCACGTTTAGGCTGAGGCAAGTGGGCAAGTGGGGGAGTCCACCCGTGCTGAGTCAGCAGTCCCAGCCTCAGTCAGTCCTAGTCCAGTCAAGCAAGTACCGCATGGGACTGTGTGCACCACGGGCATGGGAAAGGGGCAGACCAACGAGATACAGAAGTGTATCGAGAGGCAGCGCCCAGCTATTCATTCATTCCTGCGCAAGCCATGCGGAAGCGCTGCCACAGCGACTTGTGCGAGGTGGTCTGCAGTGAGCCCGAAGACGAAGTGGGCGAGAGACGGAGCTTAGCCATAGCGATATGGTAGCAGCGGCCATAGCCGCCATAGCTGATAGGAGACTGTAGCGTGTATTTGTGTGCGTGAATGTATAGTGTGACGCGTGTGGGATATCCAGGGTGATCCTGTGTGTGTGTGTGAGCAGAGAGTTGTCCAGGCGCTGTGCCGCCATAGCCATTAGAAGTGAACTTGTATCTGAACTGCGTTCTTGGCTACTATATCTCTTAGTTCTGAGTAGGCGCTTGTCGCCAGTTTGCTGCGCAACCTGTTTACCTGCATACGAAGTGTGAAAGATAGCGAGTCTGATTGCACCTTTTCCTTGGACCCATCGGCTTCCTCCTCCGTCGCACTACCGGGCCTCCCCAGGCCCCAAGAATGTTGGCCAGGCGACGGTACTGGTCGTTTCATGTATATACTATATACTCGACAGTAGGAGAGTAAAGCCAAAGTAGGCAATGGCAACGAGGTAAAAAAGAAAGTTCAAGAAACTAGTTTTTCGAGAGCCTGTAGATCTCAACCCAAGAGTCAAACAAGAAATGAATACCACATATAACTTTATATAAGAGTTAAGAACTAGAGTTCGTACTACTATAGTCAAACAAGGGCGAAAAGAAATAAAGAATAAAAAATGAAGTGTCACTGTGCGATATTTGGCGCTGACATGGCATCTTGTCTTGCTGATGTGGCATGTGTTGCTGACAAGGTTCCTGATGCTGACGGCGGATAAAGGAGCAAGGATTGGCGTGAAGAAGGGTCATTGAACATGCCGATTTGACCGATTGGAGCAGGGTTGGCGGGTATCTAAACGGCCAGAACATCGCCCAGGCAAACTTGAGGAGAATCGAAAAGGAGTCATTCCGAAAAGTTTGGCGGCTCGGGGCCGCCGGACCAAAATAGCTGTCGCCACCATCCAAAAGAAAAGAAAAATCGTCATGCCGGCGTTTTGGCAAAGCTTGGCACGCAGGGGGAATCCGCCTCGGCCAAAATGGGCTCGAATGCACTGGTGGTTTAAAGGCACTCACCTTCCCTTTCTTTTCGCTCATTTTGAAGAAATCGCTTTCACTACCTACCTACCTACCACTTCTCCTAAGGCTTCTTATAATGCCTATATCTATGCGGCAAGTAACTCCGACCTTGCATATATAGCACATTGGGCGGCAGTGGAAGATTGCAATTCGTCTGCTGACATTGGCAGAGGCTGAGTTGGCAGGTAGAGAACTTAGAGGTGGTGTCTTTGGAACTCCATCAAGCGCAAGAGAGATAAGTACACAGCTGACAATACTCGCTCCAAGGCACACACAGAGAGAGAGAGAGAGAGAGAGAGAGAGAGAGAGAGAGAGAGAGAGAGAGAGAGAGAGAGAGAGAGAGAGAGAGAGAGCAGATTACCGTCTTCCCCCAAAAAGACCAGATGATCATTATCGCTGTGTCCGGAGTGAACATTGGTGCTAAACACACCTATACTGACGGTATGGCGGTCTTTCTACTCCGCAGAGGACCATATCAGTGAAAGGCCTTTTCACATCGCAGATCCCAAATCCGAATTTCAGGGTCAAAGTCCCCAAGTCTGAAAAGGCCCAGAGAGTCGAAATTGAAAATAGTCACGTCGGGTATCCAAGAGGCAGAGGCCAAACTGAAAAGGTGCTCGATGACCAGTCAGGTCCTACAGTCCAAAAATGCAGCAGCACTCCAAAGAAAAGTCTGGAAGGTACCGGCCCAATATTCCAAAGCAAACAGGCCCAGGGGAACCGGTACCGGCCAAGTCAAGCGCAGACCCCAAGTCAAGCAGAGGCCAGTATGGCCGAGGCTGCAATCAGACTCGCTTTCTTTTCCACTTCGCACTCATGCAAACAGATGGTGAATCACACCGACGCACAGTCCCCACTCATGCAAACAGATGGTGAATCACACAGGCGCACAGCGCCCACTCAAAGCTCAAAGATATGGAAGTCGAAAACACAGTTCAGGTACAAACTCGCTTCAACAGGCTATGGCGCATCAGCGCCTGTACATCCCAACTCTTGTCTCACTGTCCAACACCACTGTTCGCACGTACTCAACTCTGGATCACCCTGGATATCCCACACGCATACACACGCTCTCGTACTCACACACTCGCCTATCAGCTATGGCGGGTATGGCCGCTATCCATCTATGGCTATGGCTAACTATCTCCTTCAGCCCACTTCGTCTTCGGGCGCTCTGCAGACCACCTCGCACAAGTCGCTCAGGCAGCGCTTCCGCATGGCTTACGCAGGAATGAATCAATGGCTGGGCGCTGCCTCTTGATTTATACTTCCGTAACTCGTTGGTCTGCCCCTTTCCCATGCCCTTGGTGCACACAGTCCCACACGGTACCTGCTTGACTGGACTGTGACTGACTGGGACCGGTACCGCTGACTGCATGGGTTTGCACTGCCAACTCGATGCAGTTGCACTGCCGACGTAACGCAGTTGGGCTCACCACTTGCCCACTTGCCTCTGTCCCAACGTGAGACAGCTTCGAAAGGCCACCTCCGGACCTTCCGGAAGTCTGTGGGCTTGGCCTTTCGAACACTGTAGCAGCTACGACCTTGACCCTTCAGGACTGTAGCAGCTACAACCTTGACTTCTCAGAACACCTACAGCTGCGACCCCTACAAGGCTGTGACCCCTATTCGATAGACCTACAGATCGAACCCCTACGACAGACAACCGACTCCTAAGACACAGGTTACGGGTTCAAACACACAGGGGATACTGTACACAGGCGAGCAGGGTCTAGGGATCGAGCCCTAGGATCTGCATCCGCTACTGGGAAGGTGAAAACCGTTTCAGAGGCCCAGTCCAAGTCAATAAGAAGACTGGTCAGCCTCATTCGAGACAGATTTCTCATTCGCAAGGAGGTGGAAGCGCTGTTGATGCTTGTGCACTATAGAGAGTCACGGAGCGCTAAGGAGCCCTGCTGGGCAGCGCTATGCTGTGGACGACAGGCGGCCATAGCGGCATAATAGTAGTAGAAGTAGAGCTGAAGTAGGAGGCGGATGTATCGAGGGTTATGATCCTCATAACAGCAGAAGCAGAGAGAATTCAAGGGGGAGAGAGAGAGAGAGAGAGAGAGAGAGAGAGAGAGAGAGAGAGAGAGAGAGAGAGAGAGAGAGAGAG